AATGAAGTGATGCAAGTTACTGAAACAAAGTAGAATGAAGAAAGACCAGTATTTGGCCAATAGTTGTTCAGTTTGGGACAGTTGAAAGCGCACGCCTAGCCCCGGGGTTATGGCTCCGTACTGACACCCTCCCTACGCAAACATTCACCAGAAGAGCCTCTCATAGCAGAGCTGCTTTCCAAACACAGGTACAAACAGTGACTCTCTCAACGGGGCATAAATGGTCTTCTAGAAGGTCTTATAGTTGCTGCTGATGGCTGGTTAGCTCTGACTCCTTCAATCGTTGTGAAAAACATAAAATGAAGTGCTAATAGCAGCTGCAGCTTCTGTGTTCAGCTTCTCTCTTGATTTATTAGCTCAGTCATTAATTTTTCCAATGAGTTTATGGTCTCAATCGCAAGTTTCAAGTCCTCTTCCGTACAGTATGAAGTTCTTTATAAATTATGGTCCATTTAGAGTAAAACGGACAATAAAGCAGGGGAGGCTTTAGGGCGTGGCTGTCTCGCCTCGCTAATTGACAAGTCGTTCTCTGAGAGTCCGTCCAGCGCACGAACAAAATTCAGTTGTTGAAAAACAAACGTGGCGACGGCCATAACGCCAAACTCAAGGCTTCAAAACAGGCTGAATAATGAAGTGAAACAAAATCAGTCTGACCATAACGGCAGCTGCTCGTGCATTTACATCCCACTGTGAAAATGATGGTTGTGATTCCACTTTTTATCAGGTGGCGAAGCAGAGAAATACCAGTGTAATTTAGACAAGCTTCTTTTGCTGTGTTAACGTTTTCTTACTGCCAGATTGGTGGGTTTAACTATTCTTCCAATTAGCCGGTTACATAACAGACATTTCTGGTGGTAAACTGCATATTGTTTGTACGAGAATCTTTGTTAAATATCCTCTTAACCCCCCAAAATACTGTCACGTTCTCAATATTGAGCTACTCTGTCAAATAAAGTGGATTTTCAGTTTTTATTAAGCTTTCAGTCGGGTCTTTGGCTTTATGTATGTGGTGAGGGGGTCGTGGGGGTTGTGGGGGTGTGCGTCGGGTCCTCTCCATCCTCCTCAGCTGATGTAAGATGGCTGTAGGCCCGCCCCGTGGCAAAGCAGATGGCCAATTAGAGAGCAGCAGGAAGTGCCAGTAATTACCCTCCAGCCCTCTCTTTCCTGTCTTCTTCTACCACACACTCTCGCACCAACAAATAAGGAGATTGAATGAATTAGTGAGTGCTGCAGTGACACTGCACCAGGGTAGACAGCTATACACAAACACACACACACACACACACACACACAGGGGAGCTGTGATCCTCTTCGAGCAAATGGACGTTGCATGTAATCCTCCCTCCTTCTCTCTGTCTGTCTCTCCGTCCTGCGTCACCAGTGTAATTAGAAGGAGGTTCAGGTCTCTCCCTTATTCGCTCGCTTTCTGTCAGATGAGGGAAATCTAAACCTGCAGGGAGACAGCAGGGAGGTTAGAGGAAGGTAGATGTACCGAGCGTAGCACCACGTTAGAGAACAGAAGACGGAGCTCCAGCACCTCGACTGCAGCTTTAAAACAAGTCCAAGTTAGCAACAAGTTAGAGGACGGTTACAGCGACGGTGTAGAAGAGTGACACTGCTTTTTATAATAATTTGTTGCTGCATCATGCCTGCACATAGTGTATTGCATTTTTAGAAGAACAGTTGGGTAAGTTGATTGCTCAGCAACAGCGTGTGACTTTTATCTGAGGCTGTTGCTGCACTGGGGAAATGAATGCAAATGTTAGTGCCTCTGTGCGGTGGTGTAATCGCTGTGGCACTGTGGGGTTGAGCTGGCTTCACCACAGCGATCACACACACACACACACCCACTGAGTCATACTGGATCTTCGCTACAGTTTGCCCCAAGTGACCCCTGACCTGAGCTTCATGTCTCCCAAAGTGGTGGGTGGGGGCAGCGTAATGATGTCATGTGGTTGACACACAAACATCTCGTACAAACACAAGGGTTGCACACACACACACACTGCTACAGGATGCAGTCAAATCCTCAAACAAGGATGTTGTTTTGGACTCGACCCTCCCAGGCAGAAGTGCAAACACACCGATGTTCTCTAACTGGGATTCACACTAACCTCTTTACACCCACATATGCCCTTGCAGGTGCAAACTCGCCCCCCCCGCTGCTTCACACAACCTCATACATTTCTCATAAAAACCTCAAATAAAACCGTACATGTGGTCAGCGCTCTGCTTTACATCTACCTCGTGACTCAGGCTGAACTACTTTATTACTATTAGCTTAGCGCCTTTGCATTACACAGAACAAATCTTTGTGACACAAATACCCTTATACTGTTCAAATATTTGCATTGACACACTTAATTTAACTGCAGGTTATTGTTTTGTTTGTGTCGAATTCTCCAGTGAAACGTGACGAAGCAAACTGCAGACTGAGTCAAATTAGGTTTAATATCATTTAGCCAGTATTCACACACATTCAAGACAAAGCAGTTGCCTCACAGAAATCATGAGGACGTATGTTATAGGACTTTATATAATTGTGTAATGGGTCAAAGTTAGAGCTTTGGTTGACGACATAACCTCTCTATAAACCAAACTGTGTGAGTTTTTCTAAATTTGTACATGTGTGTCATCTGGTGGCCTAGTGGTTAAGACCTGTACTATATAACCACAGTGGCCCTGATCCAATTGAGGCATTTTTTCATACTCTCTCTCTCTCTGACATAAATTGGAGCATACTACTGTGCGCTAAAAATCTAATTATCAATTATGGTGCTGTTTAAATCGGATCCTGAACACAACTGTTGGACCAGGTAATGATGTACAAACACGTTGCTGCTCTGTGACTGTAACTAACTCCTGTCTTTTCTCTCCTCAGACCATCAGAAGCTGGAGAGAGAGGCTCGTATCTGCCGTCTCCTGAAGCACCCCAACATTGGTGAGTTTCTGCGCATGTGTACTGATGCTGGTGTTGCATTTTAGACTAATGTATTGCTGATATTGGGTATCTGCAAGAGAGCGTTTCCCCAATATTGTTTGACCTTGGATCTTGAGTTAAAACTGTTGTACACATTTTGGGTGAACCTTTATCCTGACATTGAGAAACAATACATCCTAGTCATCTGATTTATTCTTTAAGAAATCGAGGTTTCTCTTATTCTCTTTGTAGATAATTGCTGTGCAGGTCCTTCTTTAACTGGAGTGTTAATCAGAAAAAAAAGCTGTATGATGAATTGATGTTCTACATGTTCTTCATACAGGGAGGATTATATGATTTATATAAAACAAAGTCTGAAGATCACTCAGTCAGTACAGAAATTACAGAGACTCACAGGGTTATGAAGAAGTGTTGTGAATCCTGAATAATCGTGTAAACTGGGATATAAGTAACCAGAGGCCTGTGAGCAAGGCTAGCTCTTTGGCTCTCTGGTATCACAAAGCTGCATAGTAACTCACTCACTGTGGGTTCATCTGAAAGAGGCAGAAGGCTTAATTCAAACCAGTCACATGCACATACAGTCACATGCACAAAAATGCCGAATAAAAGAACTGAACATCTGAATGGGCCTCATTCACAAACAGTGTACCCACAAATGAAGGTTTTACGCACAAATCCGGGACTCATCAATACCTTTTCTTACCTAAATGTGTTCGTACTGTGCTCACAGGTTTAGAACTGGCTCAGACGCACAAATGATCCCAGCTGTCACACACACCCTTTAACTTAATGCATGGCATAGTAAAACCGCATTCACTACGAAGGCTTTAATAGACAACAATGTTTAAAACAGTAAATTCACTAATGCGTCGGTCAGATGTATTAAATAACCATAAAACTGACAACCTATCAGCCTCATCAATTATTGTTATGATTTAAATATTAAACTATAAAAACTGTCCCAGTCCTAGTGTACAGTGTGATTAATGCATATTAACATGCAACAGTGTTGGTTTTCATTGTTTTTATTGATTTTTATAAGGAATACGGTCTAAAAGCTTCTTTATATGAAAAGTGAGAACTTGGTTTGACGCTATATAAAAAGAATTAATTGAATTTGGTCTATAATGAATTTCTTGTGCCATGAATTTGCTCTTATGTAGCCAATGTCAGTTGGTAGCTTATTAACAGGTGTGTAGGGTAAATGAAAGACTTCAATTTATCTCCAAGCTGGTGTTAAGATGGCAGATCTAGTCTCGCCGGAAGATATTATGGGCGAAGCCTAATTTCTCATTTTTCACTTCCGAGGAAACGCTTCAGAAACGTGTGCCTTGGAGTCGAGCCTTGGTTTCTTCAGCTGTGAAATTCTTTTGCTTTTTTGTTTTAGGGCCCCTGCTTTTAATTTGTATACAATCTCTAGTCAAACGTATCTCCCTATAAAGAGAAAAGGGGGGATGGCAGTGTGCTAATCGTAAATAGTGGGCATCAATCTGTCAATTTAGAACAATTCTGATTCACTAACATGCGTGCGGTAGTAAAAACAAAAAAGGCCAGAACATACGTTTCATTAATCCGACTGTGCACACTTATTTTGTTTGTAAAGTGAGAACATTTCTACATAAATTTACATTTTAACGTATGTAATGTACTGTTTTATATTGTT